TATTCAATGACCTGCACATCTTGTATATGACATCGCTAAAAAGGGTTGTGATTTGCTTCAATATGATACTGAGATTGTCATAATAAAGAACCTGTAAAAAGGTTATCCTTTTTACAGGCTCTTTATGGCCTCTTCAAAGACCATCAAGCAGTGCTGGCAAACAACATATAAACTTCTATCTTACTGTAGTCCTTTCCTCCATTCTCATCCTCCATATATTTCCAAATCAAAAAGGATATTATTCTTGTCCCACACTTTGAAAATATGATTTTTTTGGCAGGCCAACATTTTAGCATGGTTTTTATGGCTGGGAGCAATGATGCCCATTAGTAGGCACATGTCTAAAGAGGTTATCTCCTTCCATTTCTACAAAGTCAAAAACTCATTAAATGTTTTTTTGCATTTGTTGAAAATGACCGAAAACTTTCATTATTTTCATAAAATCATATTTTCAAAATGTGGGACAAGAATAGTATCCTTTTTGATTTGGAAATATATCAAGGATGAGAATGGAGAAAAGGACTACAGTAAGATAGAAGTTCATATGCTGTTTGCCAGCACTGCTTGATGGTCTTAAAGAGGCCATAAAGAGCCTGTCAAAAGGATAACCTGGCTGCACCTGAGCTGTTTGATATAAGATTGTTCCCGAACTAAAAAAAAAGTCAACAGAAAAGGGAAGCCAAGTGAAACAGTACTTTCTAATTTCTTCACTAGAACTGTAACTTATTTGGGTAATCCAACTTCTGATTTCACCAGTTCAAATGACCTCTGAGCTTTAAAACGATTTTCTCTGAGAAGATGTTTAACTTATGATGACAATCCAGTGTGCTTCAGAACATTTAAAAGTGACAGATATTTTATGCCACACAAACAGTGGATAGAGCATTGGCTGGCAGACTGAAGGGCCCCAAGTTCAAATCTGGTCAGAGGCATGGACATGGTTGTAGGCTCAGTTGGGGTGCTTGCAGGAGACAACCAATCGATGTGTCACATTAATGTTTCTCTGCCTCTCCCCCTCCCTTCCACTCTCTAAAAATCAATGGAAAAATATCCTTCAATGAAGATTAACAAGCAAACATAAAGAAAGAAAGAAATCCTATATAATAAAAGGCTAATATACAAATCGACCAAACGGCAGAACAACTGGTCAATGAGCTCCCACCACCACACAGCTAGAAGCTGGGCTCATGGCTGGTGAGCACAGTGGTGGTGTCAGGAGCCTCTCCCACCTCAGGCAGACATTCCCTCAACTCTCCTACCCCTGTGGGCCCCCAGACTGGAAGAGGGTGCAGGCTGGAATGAGGGACACCAGGCTTTTATTGTAGTAGTAAGTAAGTAAATAAATAAGACAGATATTTTAGACATGGACAGCCTGTATGATGAATTTATAGATACAAAGGACCTGATTGACAAATAGCTTGCCCATCAAAACAAACCTGTGGATTCAAAGTGGATGAACATTTTTTTGAGAAATTGAAACAAGTTCCTATGATCTAAACACCTGCTGTTGCTGGTAAGTAAAATCCTAAGTATTCCGTGCTCAAACATTCTTGTTGCATTTAATGCCATCACATTGGACTGACACTAGGAGTCAGTGTCATGTGGAAGTGAGAAGAGTAGAGAGCTGCAAGTCAGAGTACATGTTACATTTGACTGTGTTCAGTGTTACCGCTACATAAGAGAAAGGAAGGGTGTCCTGAAGGCTGCAGGCAGTTCAGAAAAGTATTTATTGGAAAAGGAGACAGAAAGAATAAGGAGATTCTAGTATGTGGGATAGAAAGAAATATGTCATTTATTATTAAAACTAGAGGCCCAGTGTGCGAAGAGGCGCCCTGAGGGCTGCTGTGGGAGTCAGGCTGGACAGACACCATGGGTGGCTGGGACCCGCACCTGACTTGCATAACGCTGGGCCTCGGCAGGAGTCAGGCCTGACTAGCGCTGCAGACAGTTGGGACCTGTGCCTGACTTCTGCCCCAGGCCCCTCCTGCTCCCCCTGCCTGTGTCCGCTCCAGGGCTGCCCAAGCCAGTGCGTCAGCTCGGCCAGCCCCAGGCTCTCCTGGCCCCCCATCTTTGTCTCCATCTCTGCTCCAGGCCTCACCTGCACGTGCAACCTCCTCCTGTCCAATCATGACCTGTTATGGCGTTATGGACACACAACAACAGACACAATGCTAACCGATATTAGCTCTTTTTATATATACATATATAGAGATAGGAAGTATCTAATTAGCCTTTATATTTTTATTCCCTTTTTAAAGTCTTATGCATCTTATTTTGACTTGTATTTAAAATATCCATAGCATTTTAACACAGCAGTATGTGTCTAATTTATAAATAATTATACACATATTGGGATGCTTGTTTAAAATTTCCTAAACTGATGAGCACAGGCCTAAAAAATAACCATGTGGGTTGTGGAAGAAGAAAAGAGTCAAGGACCTGAAGCAGATTCTTTTGTTTCTTTAAAAATCAGTAAGTCTCCTGTGACTGGTTTTTATGAATCCATCTCCCAAAGCCAGGGTGCCCCTGGAAGAACCGATACAAACTGAGTTTCTGTGCATTTAGAAATGAGGACCAGGCTCAGGAACCACAGGACACTCACTGAGGAATAAACACCCGGGAGGACATGTCTGAGCAGCCAGTCTGCCAGTCCGTCGGGCCCTCAACCTTGCTCTCTCCTTCTCCCATTCCTTGTACAGTTTATACAACTTCTGAAAACCCACATTGCCATAGATTGGGGGTTCCAAATCCTGAGGGGCCTGGCAATGGAAATCAGGAGATCTGACAACTTGGTCAGGAAAAAGAAAGCTCTATTTCCATTCATCTCTAATTGAAATTTAGCATTTCATTTCCATTGGGAAAATAGGCTGCAAACTACAGCAATATTAGTACCTGTGACTCTGTCATCACTAGGAATCACAGATATTCACATGCTACAGATACCTCAAACTACTGTTTATGTGTACCACTATTGGAAATTATGGTAATTATTAAACCCACTCCTAGATTGTGCGGTTTTATAAAGAAGCACATCTATTATATCACAGGTGTAAGTGTTTAATATTTTGATAACTATTTCAATAAAATTGGCTTACTTGGCAATCCTATGTATTTTATCTTGTGCATTTCTCCAGACTGCCAAAGGGGTTGGTGGCACATTGGAAGTTAGCATCTCTTCTGTGGATCTTGACTAGAAAGCTTCACAAATAGGTAGAGGCTAGTAAGCTTTGCTGTACCCCTGCGTGGTGCTCTAACCTTACCATTAGCTGGAGTAGGTGGCAGCTGGTGGCATATGAGTTGAAAGAACAATGGCCACCTTGCCCATGACCTTCCTGTTTCTACATGTCCAAGAGTATGGCATTTCTGTAATATGCAAAGAGCTGTTTTTCTAAATGTAAGTGAAAATGCCTTGAATATCCTGAGGCTGTTTTTACTACCTTTGTGACAGGCATCTCAGAGGGGACCTAATCTGAGCAGCATCTTAAATCCAGGCACGGAGGTTCAGGGGAAGTTATTTACCAGGGTTCACATCAGTTAAAGATAATGAGGGTTTTAGTTTTATTCTGAATAGAGAATGTGTGCTGGGAGTCAGAAGCGGGAGAAGGTAAGGGGAAAGAGATAGAGAGAGAGGATGGGAAGAGAAGGGGATGAAAAGGAGATCTGGGAGAACTAGAGCCATTCTTCAGGACACCATTTCCTCCAACCCACATTCCAGTGTCTGCCATCAGCTCTCCTATGAATCTTCAGGACTCATAACTCCCTACGACCAACTTAGATTTCTCATAGATTAGTGACATTACTTCTCAGAAGTACTTTTAAGCACGTGGAATAGATTCAGCAAAGTTCACAAGATTCAATATACATTTTAGTTTTTTTGTTTGTTTGTTTTTTGCTTTTTTTTTTAAAGAGAAATCAGCTATTATTCCCAGTCCCACAGCGCCGCTTGATAATTACTAGATTGTGGGATCCCTTAACACGACCCGCGTGGTTCAGGGCCCACTCAGGGTCTGGTTTCTGGAGAAGGCCACACACTAAAATGAAGAGAGACTGGGACTGGGACTGGAAAAGAGTTAATTTGGAAAATGGGGGCCAGGCGGGAAGCCCACCTCTACTATTGGGAAGACTACCGCTCTGGCCTTTTACCATTCCTTTTATTGAGATTCTGAGACAAAGACATCCAACAGAAAATCAACAAAAATTTACATATGATTAACAAATTAAAGTTGCCTCATCCACCACTATCTCAACTAGACAATGAGTTAATAGCTCTGACCATTCAGAGCCATCAAGGTTGGCCAGCTCCCTTTACATTTTAATACCAGTGACAATGCTAGGTTTTGGTTCCCAGCACTAACTGTCAGCCTTTGACAAATATATCATGGGCTATTATGTAAGAAAATGGCCTAGAAGGCAATACCAGAGTGAGATGAGAAGTTGTTATGAGGAAGTTATAAATCCAGTCAAGTTTCTTTTTGGAAATGGATCATCCAAGGAGAAGACAGACTTAAAGTGCCTTCCAATTCTGGTACTCTATCCCTTTCCCCTCAAATAGTTAATCCCATCTAATCCTAGGCTTGGATGACATAACTAGGATCCTGACCGCCCCCTGCCACATCTAGATGACCCCTTAGATGGTGGGTAATGTAGAGTGCTTGGGCTTTGACCCCTGACAAACCTGGGCTCTCACCTTTGCACCCCACGGAGACTTCAGCTCCCTCCACTGAAAACAGAAGCCATCTTCTGGAGAGTAAGTAACAGGCGTGGGTTGCTGCAGACACAAAATTCCCTGGAATAATAAATGGTGAAAAATCTCCTGGGATTCCTGCAACACCCAGACCCACCGTCTGCAAAAGCTTTGTAGGTCCCGCTCCGTGCGGCAGGAGGCAGCAGACCCCAGCCCCGGGGATGCTGAAGGCCTACCTGACTGGCCACCTCCCCTCCGCGGGGCGGGGCGGGGCGGGGCGGGCCTGGGCGGAGCCGCACTTGACCGTGGACGAACGGACGCTGCGCATGCGCGCCTCGGGAAGGCACCGCCCAGAACCAGCCGCCGGGCTCGAAACCCCGCTAAGTGGGGCGCAGGCCACCAGGACCACTTCCGGATTTCAGGTACGACGTTTACTCCGGCTGTTCCTGGGAGGACTTGGGGCTGGAGGTGAGTCGTACACTTTTCAGTCAAGCACTTGCTGCCCTGCATTTTCTCCCAAAGGCGCAGGACCAAGCAGCCATGCAGAGGACCTTGGGAGTTTTTTGTGTGTGTGTGTGTTTTTTTTTTGTTTTTTTTTTCAAGAGATGGGGGTCCCAGGGATCTCTTCTCTAACCCTCCTGGGAATTCCCCATAGTTCTTCCTCCTTGCGGTCTTGGATCTCCCACCTGTCCTCTCTCCCACCTTCCTGGCGCTAGGGAGAGGTGGGGATAAAGGGTGGGGCTTGTGGACCTAAGCAAAAATGCGTGGCAGGGTCTTACTTTCCTAGCATAACCTAGGTTTCACCGGAAAATGTGTCTCTCGAGCCCCAAGGGCTGCAAAGTTAGGTAATTGTTGTTATTCAACATGTGAAAATGCTTTTTATATGGTAGCTTACAGAAAATCTCGTAGTGGGGACCCCAAATTTTGGAGAGTTAGGGGCAATGCAGATCTCTGTCACCTGGATTTGTACCCGGTGCACAGAGTCATTTTGCTGCATTGCACCCAAGATGCTTTCTGGCCCTTCTAAGTGCTGAGCATCTCCTTTGCGATGTGTCCCACATCGTCGTCCTCCCCCTCGTCCCGTCGTCTCCCCCTCTCCCCCCAATCTCTTTATGTTGAAGCTTTTCATGTGTGCTTCTGCGTTGCTCAAATGGTCCTGCCATGGAAGAGGAGAAAGGAGGGTGGTTGCTGTTTGTTGGAATTTTCTCTGTGATCACAGAAACTTCTTGCAAAGATTGGGAATAGATTTTTTTGTTCCTCCCTCCTTAAAACAATGCTCAGTTCACTAGGAGATTAAGGGGCTGGCTGATTCCTGGCATGAGAACTATAGTGAGGGTAAGTCAGTGACACCACATCTTCAGACAGAGGTTGTTTACTCAGGTTCATTCACCACTCATCATTTAGCAGGTATTTACTAAAAACTTCCTATGCATGACAATGAGCTTGATCCTGTGAGAAAGGCAAAATGAAAGTAACCTGAGCTTGATATTCAAAGATCTGGGCTAGCTGGGAGGAGAGATAAGTCCAACACAACTAACTCTATGTCAGGTAGAAGAGGGCGTCAGAGAAGTGGGGGGCTCAGAGGAGGGAGAAGAATCAGCCTTTCACATCAGGTGGTTGGCTCACTAGGAAAATTAGGTGCCCAGATTACTATCTGGTGATGAGTGATCTCTCATAAACATCAGGTCTATATAGGTGTTTTCCCAACTGTTGTGTCAGGCATCTCAGACTGAACATGTTTCAAACAGGTCTCATCACTACTGATCATCTCCCTCCTTCCCCCACCACACACCTAGTACTGCTGTTCCCGTGTCCCCTGTTTCAGGGAATAGCATCAAGGCTCCCCCGCCTCTTCCGCTCCTAATGGCCCAAGCCAGAGACCCAGGGTGAATCTTCTCTGACTTACCCCTCTCCCTCACCTCTACATCCAGGCTTATTGATGCTACCTCTTGAGCCTTTCTCATATCTGTCCACCTCTCTCCACCCTCATTGCCATTTCTCCAGGCCAGGCTACCATCATCTCATGCTTTTTTTTTTTTTTTTTTTTTTTTTTTTTTTTTTTTTACTGCAGCAGCCTCTCAGCTTATTCCCCTGCCTGGCTTCAACACATCTCCCGCTATTGCAGCCAGGAAGTGCTTGCTGGAATTAAATCTGATCATGAGGCCCCCTTCATTCATTCTTTGCTGCCCTTTAGACAGAAACCAGATTCCCTCACATGGCTGGGCTGGTCCTGTCTTTCTCACCAGCCCCATCTCTTTTCACAACCTCCTTGCAGTTCCTTCCATTTAAAAACATGTTATGGTTTCTCATGCCAGGAGGCCTTTGCCTACAACACGCCCTTCCTTGCTACCCTCCTCACTTCGGTTACTCCTCTTCTCCCCAAGGTCCCAGCTGGGATTCTGCTTCCTCTAGGAATCCTTCCTCATGCTCCCAAGCCTCTTTAGGTGCCCATGCCTCTCCTCTTAGGGCTCATTCTGTATCTGCCTCCTCCACTATGCTGTACTACAGCTCCTGGGAGACCAGGGCTGTGTCTGAGGACTCTGCTCCCTACTGCCATGTGCAAAGCAGATGCTCAATAAATAGCTGCTAAATGGAATTCAGTATAAATATTGATATAAGTTGTAATACCGTGTTTTCCCCGAAAATAAGGCATCCTCAGAAAATAAGACCTACTTACAGGTTTCCTTCTGAGTGAAATATAAGGCATCCCCCTGAAAATAAGGCTCCCCCTAGACTAAACATGAGAGATTTGGTCCACTGATTCTGAAAGAATAGGAGTCACAAGAAATTCACTGGGAAATTCAGGAATTGGATTGTTATGATGATGTTCCAGAAGATGATGACATGATTGTCATTGAATAAATAAGTAAATTCTTGATATTGTAGGATTCACAGTTTGTCTGGTTTGTGTTGACAACTACCGTACTACCGTACCGTATACAGGTAATAAATTTCCTTTATTTTCATTTAACAATAAATGTGTACCGTATTCTTCTTTATGGAAAAATAAGACATCCCCTGAAAATAAGACCTAATACATCTTTGGGAGCAAAAATTAATATAAGACATTGTCTTATTTTCGGGGAAACAGGGTATTATCGTCTGACTCGGTGGATGCCTGAATCATAAATTCACTCAACCTCAGTTGTTTTCTCAGACCAAGCTTAAAAATGAGTGTGAGGATGAACAAGAAGAAAAATCATTATTAGAGTAGCTAATATTTGTTGAGTGCTCAGTATGTTCTAAGTGCTTTATGGTATTAACTCATGTAATGATCACGGCTCTTTGAGGTAGATATTTCTTATTATCCCTGTTTCACAGATGGAGAAACTGAGATACACAGAGATTAATGAATGTGACCCAGCAAGTAAGTGGTGACATCAGGTTTGAAGCCAGCCATATACTGTGGAATATGATTAGTTCTTTCAGAAAGATACTAAGTAGGACTAAGTAGGACTTGCCATCATTGGGCTGAAGATGGCAAGTCCCTAGATAGATTAAAACTTTTAAGCTATGAGGCCATGTGGAGTGATCAATCCAGAATTTAAAACTCTAAAGAACATTTGTTTCGGTTGCATATTCACTACCCCCCCCCCCCCCCCCCCACCAGTAAAGCTCAGTTAGGAGAGGCATTATAGTGTCTAAGAATGAGACTTCTCCGAGTCTGAAATCTTGCTTCTGCTGTGAGACCTCAGAGGTGTTGCTTGTCTTCTCTGTGCCTCTCCTCATCTGGAAAATGGGGATAGTAATGGTGGCAGTTACTGCAGAGGGTTCTGGTGATAATTAAATGAGTTGATATATGGAAGGCCTTAGAATGGTGCCTAGCACATGGTACTTGCTTGTAAACATTATTATTTGTTTTCCCATCATTTAGTCAATAATGGTATTTGAACGCAGGTCCTTCCTACACTTTCATTCTCACTGCACTGTTTTGTGGGCATAGATGAGCTCCCTGTTTTATGTCATTCTTCCCACAGATACTGAGGATTTTTCAGTGTTGCCTCCACAGGGCCACCATCGTCTCCTCCTGTGCCCTAGATTTCCTCCCCAAAGACCCTTTCTCACGGTAAGTTCTAGCTAACCCTCTGAGACAAGCTCACAGCCCATTTTCCAGCCTTCCGAGTCAATTTGTTCCCAAGTGCTACAGGAAGTAAAAGACTGGGTTAGCCTACATGATAAGCAGTGAGAAAACTGGGAATGCAATGAAATCTCATACATCATTCCTTGTATTTACAGAGATAATTATTTTCCCCCTGGAGGAAATACAGATGTAAAGAAGTTAAGGTATAAAGCACTGTAGGGACTCTCAGCGGAGTTGGTTTTAAGGATGGGGTGTGAGGCAAGAACCAAGAGCCAGCTAGTGACCAGTGTCATGTCTCCAGCCTGTAGCCCGTATACTTTCCCCTACATCTTAGAGACCTTGGGCAGGATTTCGTGGGAGTCTCTCACCCCTGGATGTATGCTTCAGCTGCTGCTGTGATGCACAATACAATATCGTTGTCATTTAGTTAACTTTGTGCCAGGGCTTCGTTATATTCTTTAGTGACTTACCATTGATTAAGCGTGGATGTCTCTGCTGCCCCTGAAGAACTGTCTCATAACAAAGCCCGAGACAAAGCACATGTTTAAAGTGAAGCTGTGGTTCAGTCAACAGACAAACATCTGCATTACCCCTTTTCCATTCTTTGGTGTGAGGAGGATGGAGGGACAAATACCTGTTCAAAGATGAAAGAGTTATAAGATGGAGTTGCTGACATTAAGGAATTTAAAGAAGGAGCAGTTGGCTCCAGACCAGGCTAGAGTGACTAAGGTGGTTGGGTGATAGTCAAGAAGGGTGTGGGCTGTCGGGGGTGGTTGGGGTTTGTAGGTGGGAAAGAGGTGGACATTCCAGACATTAAGGGAAGATTGCGGTATTGTTTCCAGTGAGGAGACCTGGCTAACCACAGCAGAAATCTGACTAGCAGAAGTGGAAGGAAAATAAACAGCTGAAGGTACAGCAGGTTTGGAAGACAAGGAAAGGAGACTCAACCTGGGTGTCTCCAGGAGATGAGCTTGGTACACAGTGGTTGAGTGTTAGATGAGTGAAGATCTAGCTTCCCCTTTTTAGTAGAGAAATTAATGTCTATATTTAATGTCTATAAGTAATGCATATCACTTGCTTTCCCCTACTCATTTCATTTTGTAAAAGTGGGCCTTTCTCTTTTGCTATATGATTGCAGCCTTGCCAATGGACCTTATAGGTTTCGGTTATGCAGCCTTTGTGACATTTGGAAGTATTGTGGGATATAAGCGGAGAGGTAAGCCCTTTTCATCAAAATGCCTTGGTGAGGGCTACTGATTGTATAAGGAGCAGCTGGGGGCCTGGATGTCGGACCAGAAGCTAAAGATGTCCTAGAGGTGCCTGGGGACCAGCAGTGGAAGGGATTCCTGGATGGAAGGGGGTTTTCCTAAGTGTAGTGGGAAGCCAGAGGGTCTTTAATTAGAAGAGTGATCTGTCCAGTGTATGTTTTTAAAAGGTCATGTTACTATGTTTAGAGAATAGCTTTGGGGAGGAGGGTGTTGAAGGTGCAATGAAAAATTTAATACTATATCCAACTGTAACATTTTAAGCCTTTACATATGTAACATGGATGATATTATTAACCCTGTTTTGCAATTAATAAAACTCACAGAGGCCGGATGACTTAGCCAAAGTCCTTCAGGCAATAAATAAAAGAATTTGGACTAGAACCTAGGGCATTTGAATTCTCATTCAGGATATTATTGTAACTAGGATGTGTGTGTGCGCACGTGTGAAAGAGAGAAAGGGGGTAGGGAGAGGGAGACAGAATTTGTGTGTATTACTGCAATGGTTCTTAATCTGAATTGCAATCTGAATTCCTATGGATATTTAAAAAGTAGTGCTACATTGACTCTACTCCTCGGGATTCCAATCTAGCAGATTCTAAATAGAGTGAATTCCATGAAGCAAAGGCAGTGCGTGTTTAGTGTCACCAGCACGGATCCCAGCGCACAGAAGGTGCTGGGTGGGAGTTGGTGCAATGAGAGGACGGGTTGGGGACTGGCTGGCTGCCACAGTGCCCTGGTTCTTCCCATTTCTAAGTGTAGTCACCATTCTTCCCTGAGTCCTGGCATCTTGAGGCTGGAAGCTTTGTTAATTATTCAGAATAGAGCCAGTACCTGGTTTACATGACACTTCTCTCTCTATCCCTATAAGCTAAAAATACCTCTACATCTTATTTTTGTCATCACAACCTCACAGTAAAGAGATAGAGACAAGGAGAATAGGGAGAAAAGAAGAGAGGGACATAAGTCAACCGGTTGCCCCAGGTCATGCAGTCAATGTCAAAACCACTACCGCAAGGCAGATTTTCTTTTTCCCTCAAATTAGTTGGGATTCAGTATGAAATAGTCATTTCTTACAGACGATCCTCAAATAGACTGTCCTCTCATTGCACCAACTCCCACGCAGCACTAGGCTATGTCTAGTCACGATTCCCAAGTAGAAATACACTGGAAGGTGAATGTATCATACTTGATGTTAATTCCTTTCACTTTCTGATTCTATTTCTGTGCCCATACACCCACCTCTCCCCTCAGGTGGTGTTCCGTCTTTGATTGCTGGTCTCTTTGTTGGATTTTTGGCTGGCTATGGAGCTTACCGTGTCTCCAATGACAAGCGAGATGTCAAAGTGTCTTTGTGTAAGTAAGACACTTTCCAGGTACAGAACATTGTACCTGGGGGGTAGGTGATATGATGCTTCTAAATTTAATATTATTGCTCAGTGTCTTGGAATGGTACACAATAAAATATTTGGCCTTCTTCTAAATACTAAAATAGTATTATTTTATTAATCAGGTCTTACTTTAAAATATATATAATTATTTATAATAAATATATAAAATTATTTTCCTTACATTCAGTTACCTAAACATTTGTTGGGTGTCCCTGGTGGGTGACCAGAGTTCCTGAGGAAAGTTGAATAAGCCAGTAGTCCTAGTCTTCAAGGAGTATTCTGTAAATAGAAAGCTAAGTTAGAAAAAGACTTCCTTTTAAAGGTGTTTAAAGAATGGATTTTAACATGCTTGTTTACTAAAACCTTTTTAATGAGCTAGTTAAGTGTTTTAATAGAGCTATTCATCTTTTGAAGAAAATAGCAACCCAATACCTATGTATAATAGTTGTTATATTAGGAAGCTTAAATGATATCCCTTTTTCTCACAAGTAGGCATTGGTGAGGTGTTGGCAACTCTGATTCATGTATTGGTTTGTTTTTCAGTTGCAGCTTTCTTTCTGGCCACCATAATGGGTGTACGGTTTAAGAGATCCAAGAAAATAGTCCCAGCCGGGCTGGTGGCAGGCTTAAGGTAAGAAAAACTATTTTAATGTTCATTTTCCTCTGCATCTCATTTTGAAATGCTGAATTTTGGGCAAAAGTTGACGCAGTCTTTTTGCAGCAAGAGTTCAGGAATCTGGAGAAGGGCTATGCATAAAATGAATAGAGAGTAGACAAGAAATGTAAATTTGGAAGGCATTTGGGGGAATCAGGCAGAAACCAGCTCTCTAGTGAAGTGGCTCCCTGGCCCACGGCTTTTTATTAACACATTTTTCCCTTTAGCAAATGAAAGGTTTGGTAAACAATAAAGGATTATCAGGTTAGGGGAATTGCCCTCAGCTGTTTGGCAGCAGGTAATAAGATGCAGATCTTCAGCCTTCTGATGAACTTCTCACATTTATTATTCTAATTGATGTTCTTTAGCCTCCAGCAAAAAGTCAGTGTTAATTTTATATGTCAAAGTAATTTTTAAAAAATATATAATAAGCATGACTTTGAACTCTCAAAATATGACTTCAATCAGTCTTTGGGATGGATGTGCACAGAATATTTATATTGAATAGACTTAGTGTTGCCATAGTATTTGATCACATGTACACTATATCATTTTCAGAATAAAGAACTCAATTAAGTCTCATTTTTTTCTCAAGATTTACCCGTCTGAGGCAACATTTTGAGTTTTTAAGGGAGAAAACAATATTTTTTCCCAATAGGTCAGTAGGGAGCTTCAAGTTTCTCTTCATTTGCTCCCAGTAATTCTATCCATGAGATTAAGCATATTACCAAGTAAAAATTTATAGTTTATATGTTTTTTTGAAAGAGGTGAATAGCACTATTGTTTCTATTCAGCTCAATGTAACTTTTAAAAAATGTGTTTTTATCGATTTCAGCGAGAGAAAGGGAGAGGAAGAGAGATAGAAGCAACAATGATGAGAGAAAAATCATCAATCAGTTGCCTCCTGCATGGCCCCTGCTGGGAATCAAGCCCAAAACCTGTGTATATACCCTGACTAGAAATCAAACTGTGATGTCCTGGTTCATAAGTCTACACTCAACCCCTGAGTTATACTGGCTGGGCATATAACTTTTAATTCTTCCTGAAATCTGCCTTAATATATTGAAAGCCATAAAACGTTCATTTTCTATGATATACATTTTTGCCTTCTGAATTTTTTTTCTGAAGAAATAATGAGATGTATATAATGACTGGTGTTTATTGTGACTTTATTCCTAATGCAAAACATGATAAACTGAAAAATTAGAAACAACTTAAAAATTCACCACTAATGAAATATTTCAGTAAATGTTTGTCCCCTTAATGGAATATTGAGCAGGTGTTACATGTCATGTTTTAAAAAACTATTTAGTGGCATTGGAAAATGTTAATAACATAAGGAGAGATTATTTAAATGGATAAAAAATATACTGTGATCTCAATTTTTAAGTTTGTACATAAAAAACCAATATGGGAAGGGAAATCTCTCAAACTGTTAAGAATTTGTCTCTGGGTGGCAGCATAATGAGTAATTTCTCCTTCTGCTTTGTAGAATTTTCTAGTGTGGCTGTGTTTATGATTTGGGGAGGAAAATTGTGATTACAAAGACTGCTTTCCAGTTTGAGGCCTGTCTAAAAATGGTACTTGGTGGTGGAAAAAATCAGAAGTAGGGTTTATGGGTCAAGAAGATAAGACCCCAAAAATATGAAATGTCTGCTGCTACCACCCTTTCAAATTGCTGTTTTTGAAAATCACCAGATGTGTCTTAGGTTGATGTCCCTATTTTAGGGAAATGACTGTCAGTCGTTTCAGTTCTGGTGGTAAAAAGAAAACTTGTGTATTAAAAAAAAAAGACGAGATCCCAATCAATGAAAAGTAGCTGAGATGGTAATTACTCCTTAGAAGCACTTGAAAGGTTTGTGTTTCTTTAGAAACCTTTCTCTCATAATGCTTTATCCCAGATCTTTAGGACAGCAAGTTCTGATTTTTCTCATTCATTGAGTGAACATTTTAAAGTGGCTAATTCAGGCATGTCTGGGAAGTTCGAATGCAGGGCTAATGAGGTCACCCCTGCTCCAACGATAGAAACCTGGGAGAAGCCTGGGAGCCAGGGTTTAGTCACACCACAGTGAGGGGAGCATGTGGCCCTTTCTGTCTCCGCCATGTAAGAGCCAGCCTCCCTTTGCCTTTCTTCTCATCCAGCCTCATGATGATTCTAAGACTTGTCCTACTGCTGCTCTGAGAATCCGGAGGAACTGAAAGCTGAATTGATGTCATTCTACACTAATGGGCAGAGCACACTCCTGGAATTCAGAAGATAAATTTCAGTATGGAATGTCAAGATTTTTATTTAATACTAGAAACAAAAGAAATGCTGTCACCTCTAATATGAACACCAGTCTGCGGTGGTGTTGTTCTGTTTTTGAACAAAACTTTGTTTTCTAATTGTCAGGTACTGTTTTCATTAAGGGCATTTAATAGTCTGGCCAGAGTGACTCAGTTGTTTGAGCATCTTTCCATGTACCAAAAGGTTTTGGATCCAAGTCCTGGTCAGGGTACCTACCTGGGTTTCGGATTTGATCCCTGGTCAGGAAGCATATAGAAGGCAACTGATAGATGTTTCTCTCTCATATCTGTTTCGCTCTCTTTCTCCCTCTCTCACTTTCTCTCAGCATGTTCTCGGTGAAGATTAAAAAAATATACTTAAATTGTAATATATTTTTTCATTTGCTGTGTCTAGTTTTATATATGTGGTATTTCTTGGCAATTCTAAATACTCATCTGCAGTGAATTTAAATGAAACTCCAGGGTATCAGATAAAGGAATGCTCTAAGTGGACCTCAGAGAATGCTGATGTGTCTATGTCATTTGAATTATATTAGAAATTATATGTTTTGCATTTTAATTGTATTGCTGCCAGCATTATTTTTTTTTCCTTAAAAAAATACATCATCAGCACACTCTGTGCTAAAAGAATGTATTTAGTATTCAAATAAAAGATGGTTTGTTTTAAACCTGCTGTTTTGTGTGTTTTTTCATTTAATTAGTTTATTTTTAATTTATTTTTCTTGATTTCAGAGAGAAAGGGAGAAGGAAAGAGAGATTGAAACATCAATGATGAAAGAGAATCATTGATCAGCTGCTTCCTGCACACCCCCTACTGGGGACCTAGTCTGCAACCAGGACATGTGCCCTTGACTGGAATTGAACCCAGGACCCTTCTGTTCGAAGGTCAATGCTCTATCCACTGAGCAAAACCGGCTAGGGCAATATTAGGGGCAATTATTTCCACTAAGCTGCTTTTGACTTTGAAATCAAGTAGGAAGCTCCCTGAGTATATTTAAAGGATTCTGTTAGGATGTTTTGATGCACATTTACGTTCTCAGTGGGTTACACCCAGCAAATAATAGTTACAATTAAAGTTATTAGTTTGTCATTTTATGTCATTACATTATAATTTATTTATTTTATGTTTTACAAATTATACTAACATAATTATCCACTAACCTCTTGAAAGGTAATTAGTTTGACAAATCCACACACTGACTAATTTTCAGTTTTCTCTTCATTCCTTTTTATTATTTTTTTAAAATTAATTTCAGAGAGGAAGGGAGAGAGATAGAAACATCAATGATGAGAGATAATCATTGATTGCCTGCCACCTGCATGCCCCCTACTAGACGGATCAAACCGGCAACCCGGGCATGTGCCCTTGGCCAGAATCAAACCTGGAACCTATCAGTTCGCAAACCAAAGCTCTATCCACTGAGCCAAACCAGGTAGGGCTCCCTTTATTCTTTTTTTGGTGCAGAAGCAGATGAATTTTTCTTCAGTGGTTCAAATTATGGTTTCTAGTAGCTTTAACTTGACACTATACCTCCCAAAACACTGTGTTATCTGAGCAAAACCTTATGGAAAAAAGCAAAACGTTGGATTCCTGTTTTATCTAGAATAAAATCTCAATTCCTTGATAGTACTCATAGGAGTGTCATCTGCATTCTGCCATCCCCAGCTTTATCCCCACTCTCCAGCCACGCCTCCTCTGGCTTGGGGGACTGTGCACTTTCCCACACCGAGGCTTGAAAATTTGGGTTTCTCGGTCTGAAACCCTCTTGCCCATCTCCTTGCATGCCTGTTTTCTTCTCACTTTTAATGCCTCATCACCTCCCCCAAATAAATAACAAGTGCTGTCAAGGATGTAGAGGAAAGGGAATCCTCATGCAGTGCTTGGTGGGAATGCAGATTGGTGCAGCCACTGTGGAATACAGTATGGAGGGGCCTCAAAAAATTAAAAATAGAACTGCCTATGACCCAAAACAATAATTCAAAAGAATATATGCCCCCCTGTGTTCATTGCAGCATTATTTACAATAGCCAAGATAAGGAAGCAACCAGGTGCCCATCAGTACATGAATGAATAAAGAAGCTGTGCTACATCTAGACAATGGAATATTACTCGGATATCTTAATAAATGAAATATTACCATTTGTAACAATATGAATGGACCTAGATGGTATTATGCTAAGTGAAATAAATCAGTCAGAGAAAGACAAATACTATATGATTTCACTTATATGTGGAATCTAAAGAACAATATAAACAAACAAAACAAAAACAGACTCATAGGTACAGAGAAAAGTCTGATGGTTGCTAGAGGGGAGGGGGGTTAGGGGACTGGATGAAAAAGATGAAGGGATTAAGAAGCACAAATTGGTAGTTATAGTCATGGGATATAAAGTACAACATAAGGAATATAGTCAATAATATTGTAATAACTATATATGGTGTCAGTTGCATACTGGAAATTTCAGAGAAACACTTTGTAAAGCATATGATTGCCTAACCACTATACCTGAACTAATACCAAATAATATTGAATGTAAATGGTTTTTAAAAATAAAATTTGAAAACTGTTCTTTCGACAGCATGAATGGACCAGGAGAGCATTATGCTAAGCTAAATAAGCTAGTCCCCTGAGAGCGGGGAGTAGGGAGGACAGAAAGAGATTGACCATAGAACATATATGCATATATGCATAGCCCATGGACACATGCAATAGTGTGATGAAGGCCTGGGTGGGGCGGGGGTTGGATGGAGGGAGAAAATGAAAAAAGTCTTTTAATAGTGTCAACAATAAAAAAAATAATTAATTAAAAATGTTGCCTCCCCAGAATGGCCTGCCCTTACCATCCATCTAAAGTAAAGCTCTAACAGCATGGATGGATCTGGAGAGTATTATGCCAAACAAAATAAGTCAGGCAGAGAAAGACAAGTATCACATGCTCTCACTCATACGTGGAATCTAAAGAACAAAATAAACTGATGAACAAAATAGATCCAGAGACATGGAGGCATGGAGCAGACTGAGGGATCTCAGAGGGAAGGCAGGGCTTGGGGTTGGGAGAAGTGATTGACCAGGGAACTTACATGCATATACGCATGGCCCATGGATAGACAATAAAATGGTGAAGGCCTGGGAGGGGTGGATGTGGGGAAAAAACAAACAAAGGGGACATCTGTAATACTTTCAACAATAAAAATACATTTAAAAAGTTAAAAAAAATAAAGTAGAGCTCTTGTTGGTAAAAGGGTGCATACTTTCAGCTATAAGATGAATGAAGTCTGAGGATCTAATGTATAACATGGTGTCTTTGGTTGATGACATTTTATTGTATACTTGGAACTTGCTAAGAGAGTAGCACTAGAAGGTTCTCATATAAAAAAGGTAAATTTGTGAGGTGATGGATGTGCTCATTTATTCGATAGGGGAATCCTTTCACAATGTTACATATATCAAACATCACAGCCCTAGATGGTTTGACTCAGTGGATAAGTAACTTGAGATGAATTATCCAGGTGGGCCCCAAATCCAATGACGAGTGTCTTTACAATAGAAGAGAAGACACGGACACAGAGGGTGAGTCGATGTGAAGATAGAGGCAGGGATTAGAGTGATGTGACCAGGAGCCAGGGAAAGCAAAAAGCCACCAGAGGCTGAAGGAGGCAGGAAAGGGTTCTCCCCTAAAGCCTCTGGAGGAAGTGCTGCCCTTACAACACTTTGACTTTGAACTTCTGGCTCCCAAAAGTGTAAAGCATATATTCTGCTGTTTTAAGTCCCTCAGTTTTAGTAATTTGTTATAGCAACCACAAGAAACTAATATATGGGAACCTACTTGACCCACAACCATGGAATTATTTTGAAGCAAATTCTAGACAGCCTATCACTTCATCAATCAGTAATTAGGTATGCTAATCTCTAAAAGGTAAGGATTCTTTCTAAGCATAATAATACTTTTCTCTTATCACACTAAAAATTATAATCCCTTAATTTCATTCAATATTCCACATCCCAATTTCATCCATTGTCTCATGAGGGTTTCTTTACAATGAGCTTATGTGCATCAGAATCCATGCAAGATCCCTATGTTGCACTTGAGTGATAAATACAGTAGAGGCCCAATGCATGAATTCATGTGCCAGTGGGGTCCCTCAGTCTGGTCTGCAGGATTGGGCAGAAACCAACTCTCCCTGAGGGGTCCTGGATTGCTAGAGGGTGCAGTCAAGGCCAATGGACCCCACTGGTGCACGATTGGGATCAGGGAGGGACCATGGGAGGTGACGTGTTAAGCAAGGTCAGGTGGGAAGGAGGGGGTGAGGTGAGGACAGATGAAAGGAGGAATTCCCACAGGCCTGAGATTCACCGAAGGACTTAAAGAAGGTGGTGATACTCAAATGTGCACTTTAGGGAAAATATTGTATTCTGGTTGCAAGGAGACAGCAGACTAGATGGAAGTGAAGCTACAGACAAGGAGCCCTGTGTGTCTGTCGCTCCCTCCCCACACTATGGGGAAGCTCATTGTGGGGAGAAGAACTCAATATGCCAAAGCCCAGGTTTTCTGGGAGGGTGTTCATGATGAGCCCCGAGTGTGGCTTAAGTTAGAAATCACTCCCAACCTAGCCATTCTGGCCCAGTGACAGGCCAGAGGAAAAAAAAAGATTTTATATGTAGTCATTAACATTTAATTTATACATGTAATCTGTACCTTGGAAGTCAAGGTCTGAGCAACATTGAGGGATCTGAGCTCAGCCCCACCAAGCATTAAGCAGCAGAACGATGATGTGCCAGGTGGTTATGAACTTTAAGGACAACAGAGTCAACAAAGAGCAGAGATTGGGTCTGCTTTTTTGTAAATAATTTCCCCACCCCCTAGGACATACTCTGAAACCCTCCTGTATAGCACTCACGGAGCCCCCTCTATCAGCAGCAGCATGAACCTGGGAAAACGGCACTCAAGACAGGAAGATAAGTCCTTCAGTGAGTCCCAGGCACCTGGGGATGCACTAATAAGTCCATAATAGGCATATCACTGCTGTGTTGCATGAGAACCAAACTCATAACAAAAAACCAAAAAGCATTTTTAATATCAGAAGGAAAACATCTCCTAAGTAAAAATAAATAAATAAATAAATAACATTTCTTATGCCATT